AAAACGGCATTCTGCAGCACTCATCCAGATAACACATCAAGAACGATATTCAGAAATAAGTCTGGCAACAATAGCTGGTTTAAATGATTTATTGGAGCTCGCAATGTTTTGAACAGACAACCCCATGTCAACTCGTTTTTCTTTTTGTAGTCCTCGCTGTTCGCGTCCGGATATCGCCATTGTAACCACAACCTCACACACTGGTACTGAATGTGCATCAAAGTGTTCCTATCCAGCCAAATATACCAAAAGATTTATGAAAACGACAGAAGAAGCGATCGAAATGTGTATTTCAGTCGAAGGCCACGCCTCCACATCTGTCAACCAGTTGATCGGGGAACCAGTTAATCCGGAACACCGGCTGACCGCGACCCGACTGGGGGAACGCCGCCTGTAGCTTAATTCCGCGATACTGCGGAGCTGATGAATAAATGCCTGGAGCTGAAACGAAGCCCTCAGCTAGGACAAAGCCCTGCTGCTGCTTGGCTAACCATGAACACCGTGACGCGTACACTTGTGCGTTGACACCTGAAATGACAACAGAGAGGGAAGAGAAGATTTAAAGGGTTTAGCAGGTGCAATGATTGCTAGCTGGGGAGTACCGCCCCTGATTACTTAATGGGAGAGGAGCTTGCAGTGACGTGTAACACCAGGGGTATGGTCTTCCTTTTTGAACTTGCGCTAAGCTTCATATATTTTCAAGACATCAAGCCATTGATAAAATACATGCTTACAGTTTATGACCCTGGAGTGGAAACAACATTTCTAACTAAGATGGTTCAAATATTAGAATAAAGAAATCAAGATGAACACAGTATTATTAATGCAACAGATCAATGGGGAAATGAATGATCCTGCAATATACCAGTAGATTGGGAACAAATTATTATTAATGTAACTTTTATTTATTTATAAAGCTTTGTTGGGTAAACTCCCGTATTACATCTGCTCTCTGATAACACAGAGAGTTGCAAGCAGCTATTGTCTGAGATGGCATGATGTAGTATTGTTAGATGTGCCAAGAGCAAGGACTGTCTTAGGTAAGACAGCTTTTATGTGCGCAGCTCCACTTGCTTGGAACAATCTTCAGCAAGAATTGAAACTGAGCAATCTCATTCCTCTGCAGGTCTTTAAAGCAAGGCTAAATGAAATGCTCGTTGATACTATGGGCACTTGTAAATGTCTATAACTATGTAAATGTATCCTGTAAATATAATGTATGATGTCCTTTATTGTTTTATGTTTCATGTGGAACCTATATGCTGCAGGTCTCCCTTGAAAAAGAGATCTATGATCTCAATGGGACCAATCTGGTTAAATAAAGGTTTGAAATGAAATGAACACAGTATTATTAATGCAACAGATCAATGGGGAAATGAATGATCCTGCAATATACCAGTAGATTGGGAACACATGTGCAGAAACATTCATAACACAACCAACTCAAACTACTGGAAAGAAAACACATGAAGCTTTTAATTCCACACTTTAAGACACCCCAGATTCAAAGTGAATACAAAGAAAGCCTCACTTCCAAACGCTGGAGAGAACGCGCTGAGCAGAAACCAGACACATATATTCTGGGCCTGTAATGTGTTGGGAGACTTCTGGGAAACAGTTTGAAGAGAAATGTCCAATATCTTGTTCTCTCAACAAAAACCCATTCTCCCTATCACTGGGGGAACACCAGAGGAGATACAAAAAGATTCCTATCTATTTCTGGTCATTAGAAAAGAGATCAAACAAATGACAAGGAATTGTCTGAAAGATAATAACTTAGTAAACTCACGATGGAATAACTTAATAAATGAAATCTATGTAACGGAGAAATCAACTAGATTAGAAACCAAATGCATATCTTTGAGGAAAGGTGGGAGGAATGGGTCAGTGTAGAACAATATAGTGAATATAATTAATGTATACCTGAGTATTCATAATGTATTCACAATGTATCCATTCTTTTATTTGTAATACTATTATGTTGTTGTGTCTTTTCTGATTGGTCATCTGTTATGTAGTTCATCTATGTACTGAGATGTGTTTATTTTGTTCTGAATGTTTTGTGAATATTTTCTTAAAAAGCAAAGAAAGTAATAATAACATGTTTCTGTGATAACTGTAAGTCCTGCTGTGTGGTGTGATCACATGCTGAGAACCCTCTCAAGTCCTTCATGTGTTCGACATGTCGCCTCCTTCACTCAATATGAAGAGAGGAACGCGTCAGTTTAACTAACATTATAAATAAATAGAAGAACAGTGTTGGTTTTATTTTGCCCTCAGTATTTAAACAGCAGAAATGTTAAAGTGTTTATTTGAATAATTAAACTCCTGATCCACTTTAGTTTATAAAGTTAATCACATCTGGACTTACTTGGCCTTCCTGCAGTTCCTCACAGCTGGAAGCAGTCTCAGTCGTCCCTCCCATGATGTGTTGTATTTATTCAGGTCCAACTCATCCAGAACCTCCTCTGACATCTGCAGCATGTTGGCCAGAGCAGAGCAGTGGATCTCAGAGAGTCTCTTCTCTGATCTGTTCTCTGACTTCAGGAACTCTGTGATCTCCTGATGTACTGAGAGGTCCTTCATCTCTGTCAGACAGTGGAAGATGTTGATGCTCCTGTCAGGAGAGATATATCTACTGCTCATCTCCTTCAGGTTGCTGATGGCTCTCTGGATGGTTTCTGGTCTGTTGTCTGTGCGACCCAGCAGGCCTCCTAACAGCCTCTGGTTGGACTCCAGAGAGAGGCCGTGGAGAAAGCGGACAAACAGGTCCAGGTGGCCATTTTTACTTCTGAGAGATTTCTCCACGGCTCCCTTCAGGAAGACAGGCAGGGATGGGTAATCCTGATCACTGATGTTATAGTCTCTACTCAGGAAGTCCTTCAGTACCGCTGTGTCTCTGTTGGTGTAACAGTGCAACATGTAGACTGCAGCCAGAAACTCCTGAACGCTCAGATGAACGAAGCAGTAGACTGTTTTCTGGAAGATCACACTCTCTCTTTTGAAGATCTGTGTACAAACTCCTGAGTGCACCAAGGCCTCGTTGACCTCAAGACCACAGCGCTGCAGGTCTTCTTGGTAGAACATGATGTCTCCTTTCTCCAGATGTTCAAACGCCAGCCTCCCCAGCTTCAGAAGAACCTCCCTGTCAGCCTCCGTCAGCTGCTGTGGACTCGTCTCATGTCCCTCTTCATACTTCTGCTTCTTCCTCTTGGTCTGGACCAGCAGGAAGTGTGAGTACATGTCAGTGAGGGTCTGGGGCAGCTCTCCTCTCTGGTCTGTAGTCAACATGTGGTCCAGAACTGCAGCAGTGATCCAGCAGAAGACTGGGATCTGACACATGATGTGGAGGCTCCTGGAGCTCTTGATGTGAGAGATGATTCTGCTGGACAGGTCTTCATCACTCGCTCTCCTCCTGAAGTACTCCTCCTTCTGGGCGTCAGTGAAGCCTCGTACTTCTGTTACCCTGTCCACACACTCAGGAGGGATCTGATTGGCCGCTGCAGGTCTGGAAGTTATCCAGACGAGAGCCGAGGGGAAGCAGCTTCCCCCTGATGAGGTTTGTCAGCAGCACGTTGACTGAGGACTGCTGTGAGACATCAGACACAACCTCATTGTTTCTGAAGTCCAGAGAAAGTCTGCTTTCATCCAGGCCGTCAAAGATGAGCAGCACTTTGCAGACAGCCAGCTGCTCTGCTGTGACCTTCTGTAAGGTTGGATGGAAAACATGGAGCAGCCTGAGAAGACTGTACTGCTCTCCTTTGACCAGGTTCAGCTCCCTGAAGGAGAGCGGGATCACCAGACTGACATCTTGGTTTCCCAAACCCTCGGCCCAGTCCAGAGTGAACTTCTGCACTGAGAAGCTTTTTCCAACTCCAGCGACTCCGTTGGTCAGGACCGCTCTGATGGGAGTCTGTTGGTCAGGTAAGGCTTTAAAGATGTCCTGGCACTTGATTGGAGTGTCATGGAGGGGCTTCTTCTTGGAAGCTGCCTCCAGCTGCCTCACCTCATGTTGGGTATTAACCTCTTTACTCAGGCCTTGTGTGATGTAGAGCTCAGTGAAGATGCTGTTGAGGAGGGTTTCACTTTGATCAGTTCCTTCAGTCACACGTTCACATCTCCTCCTCAGACTGAGCCTATGTTCATCTAGAACCTCCTGCAGACCACTATCTGCTGGAAGAGAAGGAAACATGAGAGAATGAGGAAAATGCTCTGAGAATCTAATTATAACAATAAACAACAAACAGACTGAGTTTAAATGTTGTATAAACAGCTTACTGTCTCTGCTCTACAACAGTATACCTATTCAGAAACATAAGGAACCAGGAAGAGGAATAAAGACGCTGCGTGTGTTCGGCCTCTTACCTCGTACAGTTCTGGTCTGGCTGGCTGTCTGCAGTCCAGCTCTGGTTCTGGATCTCTTCCCACACTGGGGACAGGAGGGGTCTCCTGATGGAGGTCTCTGCTCCCAGTATGAGGTGATGCACTGTCTGCAGAACCAGTGTCCACAGCTGGTAGAGACTGGATCCTTCAGGACGTCCTGACACAGAGCACAGCTGGACAGCTGCTCCTCCACAGGAACACCACTCTTCCTCTTCCCTCTGTGGAGATGAACACATCCTTTACAGCACGTTACATTAGTGGAGCTGATTCTCACCAATGGGCAGAGCGTCACAAACGTCTCTCTCAAGACTCTTCCTCTCCAGGAGGACTCAGGTGAGGGTGCTGCACTTTTCCTTGTTCATGTGATGTTTTGGTGTTGTTGTTGTTGTTGTTGTTGTTGTTTAGTTTCTTTCCGTTAACTGTCAAGAGGGAACTAAGTCTTTTTGTTAGTTCGTGTTTGTGTTTCTCTTATTATCCTACGATGCTGTGATGTGTGGCTGTGAATAAGAACATATGAAGGACAGACCATCTATTTATGTTTTTAGAGAACAGTTGAATATATTAGATTATATAAAAACTGGATGCTCTTCAGGTCAGGTTACAGCAGAAACTCTTACTTTGTGTCTGAGGGTCCAGGTTCATTACTGAAGTGTATAGGCTCCCACATAGACCGGTCACTCTTCAGAGACAGACAGCTGGGGACTGGAGACTCTGCTCTCTGTCTGTGGAAACAACACATGTTTTAAACATCATTAGTTCATTCAGAGAGAACATTTTGACTTCTGTCTGTATGTAGATTATTTACTATCGCTGATGACGCCAGGGATCAAGAGTTTATGCTTTGTTACTGTACTGTTACTAAGTTTCTTTACTGCGATCATTAAAGAACAGTTTATACTAGAAAAGACATTTCCTGCTGAAAAAGCAGAGAAAGCTGAGTATTTGAAAAGCTGAATGGTGACTGCAGCTGAATAAACAAGTGGCTTTTAGCAATAATGTTTAAAAGATGTGCAATAGTTTAAGTAGTTGATCAATCTCCACTAAGTAGGTGTTATCCTGCAATAACTAGCTGATACATTGTAGTAAGGGAAACTTCCTCTTTTTGGACACAAATAACGTGGGACGCTTCGTGCCATTGGACAAACTTCCGCACAATGGAAATGTGATGTCCACTTAAAGAGAGAGTGTCATTAACTGTTACCCAGAGAACAGTCTGCAGCACCCTCACTTTCTAACCCACGATTTTAAACCGGTTAAAAAGCACCAAGTGATTTAAGTGCAGTTCCTATGTTTCCACACAGGAGGGCTCATCACCCGACATGGGCACAGTGCATTAACAGTAGAAAATACAATAAAAAAAGGCAAATCAGTTAATTTAAAGTGCAGGGAGGCTCCACACCAGACACAGGAACATTCCTCAATCCCAACAATAGTGACACTGATGATTTAAAGCCGTTTCTGGGGAAAAAGAGTGCTAAAAGTCTGATCAAAGTCTGATAAAAGTCAGATTGTTTCAGAGACCCATAGTAATGATACAATAAACCATTTACATCTAAAAGTATTGATTAAAATTCATTTTTAGAGGAAGCCTGAAAATGCCTCTCCAGGGCCCGGAGAGCTCCCAGGTGCTGAAGAGGGGGAGACGGGCTCCTGGGACCTCCAGCATAGGAGCCCCTCTCTGACCCATAAGAAGCGCCTATCCCTCCATACTCTTTGCTTACGGCCATACCACCCTGATCCGCTCGAGGCACAGAGTGTGAGTGTGAGGTAAACAGCGTGCTGAACTGTTTTGATTTGGAAGCTCCAGTTTATTGTGGGAAGAAGGGAAGAAATGGTGTCTGATGATGGGGAGGGGCAGACTGAGGAGGAGGAGTCTGATGATGGGGAGGGGCAGACGGATGAGGAGGAGGAGTCTGATGATGGGGAGGGGCAGACGGAGGAGGAGTCTGATGATGGGGAGGGACAGGACTGAGGAGGAGGAGTCTGATGATGGGGAGGGGCAGACTGAGGAGGAGGAGTCTGATGATGGGGAGGAGGAGTCTGATGATGGGGAGGGGCAGACTGAGGAGGAGGAGTCTGATGATGGGGAGGGGCAGACGGAGGAGGAGGAGTCTGATAATGGGGAGGAGGAGTCTGATGATGGGGAGGGGCAGACTGAGGAGGAGGAGTCTGATGATGGGGAGGGGCAGACGGAGGAGGAGGAGGCTGATGATGGGGAGGAGGAGTCTGATGATGGGGAGGGGCAGACGGAGGAGGAGTCTGATGATGGGGAGGGACAGACGGAGGAGGAGTCTGATGATGGGGAGGGGCAGATGGAGGAGGAGTCTGATGATGGGGAGGGACAGACGGAGGAGGAGTCTGATGATGGGGAGTGGCAGACGGAGGAGGAGTCTGATGATGGGGAGGGGCAGACGGAGGAGGAGTCTGATGATGGGGAGGGGCAGACGGAGGAGGAGTCTGATGATGGGGAGGGGCAGACGGAGGAGGAGGAGTCTGATGATGGAGAGGGGCAGACGGAGGAGGAGGAGGAGGAGTCTGATGATGGGGAGGGGCAGACGGAGGAGGAGGAGGAGTCTGATGATGGGGAGCTGGAGATGGGAGGTTGAGCTGTGCGGGAGAGGATGAAGATGATGGGAAGATGGAGATGGAGATGGAGAAGCAGCCGAGCGAGGAGGAGAGCGGGGTCGTGGCTGTGGAGGAGGCTTCATCAGCGTCGGATGGGGAGATAGTCCAGGTGCTGGTGGGAGAGCAGGATCTGGACGATGGCTGGGTCTTCGATAATAAGAACCAGACGCAGAAGAACCGGAGCTGCAACAGAAAGTCTGCAGACGATAAAGTGGATATGAAGGAGAGAGAGGACGGGATGGGAGAGGAGGCTCTGAGAGGTGCAGGGGTCCCTGGGAGTTCCTGTGTGACGGCGAGGGGACGAGCCAGAGGAAGAGAGACGATGGGGAGGAAAACGCAAGATGCAAGGGGGCAGGTCCAGACACGGGGTAAGGAATGGAGAATTTAATGTTTCTAGGGGTGTAACGGTATTTGTATTCGTCCATGTTCGGCACATGCAATCACACGACAAATACGCCTTTTTTTTACGAGTGGGAAAAAAGTCTGTCATTCAGGGCAGTATCCACTACACTTTATATAATCCAGGGGGCGGTATTGCGCCTAAAGCTGTTTGCCAGCCGCCCTTAAACAACAAATGAAGAAGAAGAAAACACAACAAAACGAACAAAATACAAGAAGAAGAAAAGTTAGTATGGCGAGTTCAGATAACACACAGGAGCTAGAACCCACCTGCTTCTTTTAAATCAGCTGTGTGGGAACATTTCGGGTTCCCTGTGGACTAAATAACGATGAAGTGTGCGAGTGGACGAGGACGGTGTGTCGGCGTTGTTCGATAGCAGTGCGGTATGCTAATGGTAACATACGCCAAACATGCTAAATCATATCAGAAGGCATCACCCAGATGTTCCAATCACCGGAAGCTGGCAAAAGACAACAGCAGTTCAACAGCTGATCCCCGCTGTTTTTAAGAAGCCAATAGACATGAAAGCCGAGAGACCAAAATAAATAACGGAAGCTTTTGGCATATGTTTTTCAACGGCTATGCTGCGCCCTTATGCAATAGTGGAGGACCCCGGCTTTTATTGATTGCGATTGAAACACTTTCTTATTATTTATTTTGTAATATTTTCAAGACATTCTTTTTAGTTTTACAGCTTATTGAACCTTTTTTGTTTGACATCAGCCATTATAGATAATATGGCCATATGAGTGTGTGTGGTACTGTTTGTTTTTAACTGTGTAATAAAGTTAATTATTCAAAATGTTCCTTAAAAAAAAGGTTCCTTATTTTGTAAACTGAAACTTGCACTACTGTTCAAAATAAATAACAACAAACCTGGAATTATGCATTTGGGACTTTGTTTTGCTTTTTCTTGTTGTACCGAACCCGTACCGAACCGTGACCCCCAAACCGAGGGTACATACCAAACCGTGAATGCTGTGAACCGTTTACACCCCTAAATGTTTCTCTCCCTCTTCGTAATCAACATGGTGTCTTTGGCTTCATTTAATGGATATGGGCTTAAGAAGAAGGACAGGAGGGAGCAAGCTGTTATTTTGTGTGCCACGGACATGATCTGTTTTCAGGAGACACATTGGGATGAAAGGTGTGTAGAGGATGTTAAGAAGGGGTGGATGGGTGATGTGTTTGTGAACGGGGGTGTGAATGCTAGGGGGGGGGGGGCGATTTGAGTTAAAACAGGTGGTAGAGAATGTGAGGAAAGATGAGGATGATGGTGATGGTGAAATGATTGGTGTGGTGTTTGAGTATATGGGGAAGTGTTTAAACTAATCAATGTAAATGCGCCGAATGAGGAAAAGGGGAGGGGGATGTTTTTGAGGGTTTGGGAAGTGTGGGGAAACTGTATGGTTGTTGGTGATTTCAATGTGTGGTGTGGGAGAATATATGTGTTTTCAAAGTGATTCTTCACGGGGTATGTTACAAAAGGTAATGAGGGATAACGGTATGAAGGATGTATGGAGGGGGGGGAAAGGTGTATGGGCGGGTGTTTTCTATGAAGCAGGTGGTTGGGGGGTGGGGGGGGGGAGGGGGGGGTTTTAAACAGAGTAGGATTGATCTATTGTTGTGTAATGGGGATATGGGGTGGAACAACTGGTCAAATTGAATACATAAGGAATGGTTTGAGTGATCATTCTATACTTTATTTTGGGTTTCAGTAATGAACGTGGGGGGAAAGGTGGGGTTTCAATGCAATGTTGTTAAAGGAAGAGAAATATAGAGAAAAAGTTAATGAGTGTTCAGTAAAAAAAAGAAGTATGAATGTTGATGTGGCGGTTTGGTGGGAGGGTTTTAAAAAAAGAGATTAAGAATATGAGCATTAAATATAGTAGTGTGAGAAGAGAGAGAGAGAGAGAGAGATATTTCCATCATCCATGAAAACCCCCAGTAAATCCACCTCTTTCTATCCGCTCCAAGACCCTCAAAGGGCGGCCTCATGAGTACCAGCATGACCCCCACCTCCATAACCCGGCGCACCAGGCGAACCTGTGTACCCACACTTAAGCACACCTCTCGGACTAAACCAAAGGGACACCCCGGTCAGAAGTTCGTGCCCCTGGTAAACCTAAAAGGGGGTGGATTTTGTGTTTCTTTGATGTCCGCCCCTCAGCATCCAGGCCGGGCCGGCAGAGGCCCTCCGATGGCGGGTCGCGTTTGCCATTCGATCAGTGAGAGGAGAGGAGAAGGACGCAGCAAAAAATGAAATAGGGGGGAAAAAGAAAAAAAGTATCCGAAAATAGGCACTCATGAGGCGGGTAAAGTCCCCTGTCGACTCCCGTTACATTCCTCCGGCACATTGCCTAAGTCAACTTTTATGAGAACCAGGCTGGGGGGTCTTTGTGGCACAAAATAAGGCCCACCCAAAGTGCTTGGTGAGCGGACACATCACCTCCGTATTTTCAGACAGCCCTCAAAAACCGGGTTTCTCATTTTGTGAAATGGATGAATACAATTTTTCAGAGAAGGGGAACTGAAGCCCACTGGAAAAAGGGGCCGAAGCGGGAAACGTCTGGTCGCTTCTCCGGTGGGCACTAATGGCACGTTTCCACTGCAGGCCTCACTCGGTTTGGTAAGGCCTTATTAGGCCCGGCTCACTTTAATGCTGCGCATTACAGTTTAGGAACTGGGGCAGTTACTATAGTAACCACAGTGTAGGCGGAGCCGTGACGTCATCTTCAATGAGAGCCCCAGAAAAACAACACAGCCGTTAGCTCTTAGCCCTCAGAGCTCACAGCTCTTCATATCTGTTCAGAAACTAGACAAAAGTTAAACAAGTACAAACCACAGACTGCCTGTGTCATGGCGAATACAGTCGCTGGTTTATTTATGTCTGTATAGGCCGTTGTTGTGAGTGTGGACGGTCGGAGCATATATAACGTTAGCTTAGCCAAGCTACATTTAGTAACACGCATTTTTAAAAGGGTTTTTCGCCTGCCGTCTGTCTGCAGACTTGTCAAAGCATTAATTCATGGTTTTTACTAACCGGTATCAGTATGTTGTTACTTCGGCATCATTTTGAAACGTTGTATTATCAATTAAATCACGGTCAAATATGTTCATCTTTGTTGTAGTTTGTAGCCCCCCTTGCCAGCGATTCTCTCCTCTAGTTTAGCATACTCAGCCCGACTCAGCCTGGTTGTTCCTGGCCCTAGAACCACGATTTAGTCGAGGCCAGAAAAAAGGTGAAAAAGTAGCCCCCAAAACTAGGCCAAGTGGAAACGCAACCAAAAAACGGGCCCCGCACGGCTCGGCACGCTTAAAGCAAGCTACCCGCTGCAGTGGAAACGCGCCCATTAGTCATTTTCTCCAACATTTTTTTATTTCTTTTTTTATTATTTAAAAATATAGTTAACCATTTTTTTCACTTTTTTCTTCTTTCCACGGATGGGTAGAGCCTGGCAGGCCGTCTGTGAGCACACATATCTGGCCTGGAACCTCCAGAATGTTTGAGCTAAGCTCCATAAACTGACAAAATCACCCAGACATTTCACTTTTATAGGTCAAAAATATATAATACAAATACATTTTAAATAGTATAAGGTGCAAATGTGCTCCGGATTACCCGGGGATGGATTTATATAGCTCCATGATAGTAATTAAAAATCATTTTCATGGAAAAAAGTGTTAACAACGCCTAGATAACGCCTAAAATAAATCACTTGAATGTAAATATAATGATTATAAATCATTTGTAGTGAGAAGCAAGCTGAGCACCTGACTTTCTAAACCAAGAAATTGCTTTAAACCTGGGGGAAAGCCTTCTAAATGTCGGGGGAACTGTTTTAATAGGGACAGAGAGTACCAGAGGACCAGGGCTGCAGCACCTGCTTTCTAAGGGAAGTAAAGGTGCAGCAAACCTGGGGAAAAGTGTTCTAAATGTCGGGGAAACTGTTTTAAATAGGAGGAGAGTGTCATTAAACTGTTACCCAGAGAGAAACAGTCTGCAGCACCTCACTTTCTAGCCCAGGAAAAGTGTTCATGCAGCCCCTTAATAACGGTAATAATGATTAGAAAATCATTTCAGGCAAAAGGGTGGAGATATACCTTAATGCCGTGTGTTTGTACATCAAGTGGACTGTCAACTGGAAAAAGCCCTAACGGTGAGGAAGGTATAAAGATATTAACATGATGACTGTTGGAATGGAACCGGCACCTTATAATTGAGAGACCAATGCAGTAACACAGAGCCACAGTCACACCTGGCAATAGGTAGTGTGGCTGTTTTAAAGGGTACATGAACAGTGGGGGCTTGAATGTGTAGTAAGAAAAGAAAAGAAAGAAAAAACGCTGGGAAAAGCAGCAAAAATATTTTAACTGCATGTTTTTGAACTACAACCATATGTCCCCAATAATCTGGAAGATATGTGGAACATGTTAAAGTGTGTATGAGGTTTCCTTCAGATAGTATAGAATAGGCTGAGACAGTGTGTTAAACTCCAGTCTGTGTGTCTGTGTCTGAGCTGAGCTCCTAATCAGAACACCTGTCTGAGTCCAGAGATCAAAGGTTTCCATGGAGATGTGATCAGTGATCAGTGAAAGGAGAGGGTTTCATGTGAAAAGTTTTTCTCACATCCTTGCCCTCAACAGATATGTTTTAAAGTTCTATACTTAAATGTTTTTATTTTCAACCTAAGAGATGTTTTCCTACATTTTCATCAACAAATGATGTCACAGGAGGGTAGGGTTTGGGACTTATGGCAGGTTTAACATTTTTATTTTAGGCGGATTTCAAGCTCTCCTCCACTCTGTTTTGAGATCAAAGCTCTCTAGACTTAACGAGCGGCGCACACTAAGGTTAAAATATGAAGAAGGCCTCTTTACCAAGCTCCAAGCTAAGTTTAATATTTCAAAAACTGTAAAAGATATCAAATAGCTGAATGCAAGTTTAATAGCTGAATGCCTTGTGACCGTTTTAAAGTTGGAATGAAGTCTCTAGCTGAAAGTATGTGGAAGGAGAAGCATTTTGCACACGGTGTAGCTAAAAGAGGATTTGAAGGATCCTCCCATTGAGTTACATTGTAAAAATAAAAGTTTAAAAAGCTGAATATTATAAAAAGTATAAATGTCCTAAACAAGGAAAGTCATAGCAGTTATGTCCTGAAGGAGCTGAACATTTTAATATTTGAATGGTTTCTGTAGCTGAAAGTATGCTGAAGAAGTTAAACTGCAAACATTGGTTGAAATAAATTGAAGAATAAAGATTTGAAGAACAATAGTCTGTTGCTCAGCATTCACACTAATTATCAGATAACATAAAAACTGGATCCTCTTCAGGTCAGGTTACAGCAGAAACTCTTACTTTGTGTCTGAGGGTCCAGGTTCATTACTGAAGTTTAGAGGTATATCTTTAGACCAGTCACTCTTCAGAGACAGACAGCTGGGGACTGGAGACTCTGCTCTCTGTCTGTGGAAACAACACATGTTTTAAACATCATTAGTTCATTCAGAGAGCATTTTTGACTTCTGTCTGTATGTAGATTATTTACTATCGCTGATGACGCCAGGGATCAAGAGTTTAACTTTGTTACTGTATGTTACGCTAAGTTTTCTTTACTGCGATCATTAATAACAGGTTTAGATTATCAGGTAACCATAAAACTGGATCCTCTTCAGGTTCAGGTTACAGCAGAAACTCTTACTTTGTGTCTGAGGGTCCATGTTCATTACTTGAAGTATGGAGGATTCAACTCTTTAGGACCAGTCACTCTTCAGAGACAGCACAGCTGGAGACTGAAAGATGTGTCCTCTTCCTCCTCTTTAAACAACTCATCTTCTCCAGTCTGAAGAGATAAACCACTAAAACTGGAGACACAGACACACAACACACTATCAACACACAGACACACAACACACTATCAATAACACACTTGTTTCAATCATAACCATCCATAATAATACACTTGTTGTTATTATGATATTAGGGTCATGCAGAGTCAGACAGCTATCCCTTTAAGAGGAGTGAGATGAGAGAGAGAACACATCGAGAGAGAGACTGACGAGATCAGGCAGAGAGAGAGAGAGAGAGAGAGAGAGAGAGAGAGAGAGAGAGAGGAGAGAGAGAGAGAAGAGGAGAGAGAAGAGAGAGAGGCAGCTGACTCATATACTCATAGATACACCTAGATGGAGTCATTTTAAAACCCTTCATTTACAGTAGCAGAGAAAAGCCTGTGAGATGAGGGGGGGCCGCTTGCATGTGTGCTGCGCATGGTAGAAGCGGACGGGAGAGAGAGCGAGCAGTGGTGTGTTTTTCGAAGTGAACGAAACAGCCAGCAAAGGTTCTGTCGAGTGTCCTTCAAAAGTTAGATCTGTACAAAGACCTTAATAAATGCAACGGCCTCCCCAAAGAAAGAGCTCGCCTGTGTGCCTTATTGGAAAGTGGGTTATTGGAACCCTAAGTGTGTGTGCTGCTTCGGGCCCTGGTGAGAGACTGCAGAGAGTCACCCCTGCCCCTTCCCTCCCCTCCCTACGTTCTGTGGAGCCGACAGGAAAGTGTAACACTTGGTTCGAACATCAAAGTCAGTCAGACTTCCGACATTGGCCCGACTCCCCAGTTTGACTGCGCTGGGGCTGCTCGCATGTTATGTTGCTTTGATGAGTCAGAAAACAGGAAATGAAACCAGTTCACACCACTTGTAGAAGTCTCTTTGGACTCTAGGACGCTGATGTTCTGACATCCAGTAAAACAGAAGGTAAATAATGTGTTAGAAAGCAGATCCTGGTGTTAACACTCACCCTGTTCTCCTCCTGCTCCGTCCAGGTGTAAATGGCGTCTGGCAGTCTGACTTCATATTGGACTTGAACACCCTCACCTGTCTGCAGCTCCTCCTCTTGATTCATAACCATCCTTACCAGCTGAACCAGTTCACAGTCATACAGGGACTATGTTCAGTGTGATATAAATAGAGCTAAAAACAAGCTCAGCAAAGTTATTGAAATAAACATTAAAACCACAGTGTGAAAATCCCCCAGTAAACATCCTGCATTCAAAACCTCAGTTAAAGGTCCCCTATTATACTGTTTTTCATCAATATATTATAGGTCCAGATATACACAGAACATGTCTCTGGAGTGTTTGGGTGTGTATGGGAGATTGACTGACTGATTGATTGAAAAGTTTATTAACAGCTTGTATATTGGGTACAGTACAGTACAGCTCAAAACATACAATTGTTAAGGGGATGCAGACCAGAGAAAGACTTTCGTCTTGTTTACATCAGGGTCCCCCATTTCCAATTCGTCATGTAAGACATATAAGACATATTTGACATACAGATGGCTTATTTACAATTTACATACAGGTGGTTTTTACATACAGATTGCTTGTTTACAATTTTCATTTTAGATTTCGTTCTAATACATCCTAACCGGACATTTAAGACATACCAAGTCTACAGATATACAGTTAGTAACAGAGTCTAAAATGCGAGTATATACATAGATGGGGGGGGGGAAGCTGTCCATTGAACGACAGGTTGAGATTTGTACCATTACCGGGGCCAGTTTTGCAATGCTCTCCCCCGAAGGTGCTCTTTAAGAGAGGTTTTGAAGGTAAGTATAGTTTTACTTTCCTTTACAGTTGTGGGGAAGAGCGTTCCACCTTGATGTGGCATAATTGCGAAACGTGTATTCCCCCTTTTTTGTGCCAAATCTGGGTTTCACATGATTTGTGGAGCTCCCTCTGGTGTTATGATCATGGTATTCCTTGACCTTTGGGAAGAATTTTGACATGAGAGTTAAGGCTTGGAGTGACATCAGCGGGCGGAGCGGCAGAGGGAGTCCCAGTGCCGTCCCTGGCCAACTTGAGGCCCCATGCAAAGTTATATGATGAGGCCCTCTGTTTCGCAAGCGTCGACGGGGGGGGGGGAGAAAACGTGCCGCGCCACACTACTTCAACACACTCAACTTCAACACTAATTGCGCTGCACAGGCGCATAGGTACAAGATGAGGCCCCCTCCGCCAGGTGAGGCCCCACACCGTCTGCGTGATCGGCCTGTAGGGAGGGACGACCCTGAGTCCGCTGTTAGAGCCATGAAGACGGATTAAAAGAACGAGCAAACCAGCCTCTCGTGTTCTTGTTTATTTTCTTATTATCAGATATCTCTGCACCCCATCCTCCTGTCAGCTGCCCCGCGCTCAGGCTGGATCAACGTGATGACGTATCAGTGGCGGAATGTCACTCAGTATTTTTACTCAAATACCTGAGTACATTATGAGGTAAGTGTACTTTTGTTTGTTGGTATTTATACTCCACTAAATCCATTTCCAATACAACAATAAACTAAAGTAATACAATCTAAAAGTCTATTTGATATTTCTGATTCAGTTTTCTGCTTTGGTGTAATGTTGTGGATTGTATCTATAGTTTGTTGACTCCTTGTATCAGTGAAAGTGCATCGATGTGGTTTCCTTTCGTATCGCGCCTGACGTCATCACGTAACGTCTTTTCCCGATTCTTCCACCTTTAGCTGATCCGCCATGTTTGCTTGTTCAGGTGTTTTTCACAACAGCTAAGTGAAATGAATACAGGTTATATTTGGCATATACAGAATAATGTTCAATATCAGGGATAAAATGGTCCAGCTGGATTGTTTAAATGTTGTTGGTCTTAAGCATTAAGTAATGAAAGCTTTAGCGCAAGTTCAATAAGGAAGACCTAACACTAGTCACTTACACGTCACTCTATGGCTCCCTTCCCCCCTCATTAAATACGAGGGCGTCACCCCTCAGCAGCCAATCGCTGCACATGCTAAATTCCTTAAATGCCTGCTCTTCCTCCCTGTCAGTTGTCATTGCAGATGATCACACGCAACCCGCCTCCACCCCTCTCGCCTCCCGTCTCCTTCAGGACAAAGCTCAACCTTCCTCCTTCAGACCGGTCTCACCTACTCATCACCACCACCAGTGTCTAGACCCCGGGGATTTCATCGGAGCGGTTCTTTCCCTCCTGAATGATTATCCTGCAAACCGGGGCCTAATCGCCAAACACCATTACATTCTCCTGTTGTATTATCGTGGCAATCATTTCATTCATATGACGTGTAAACAATAAATATGTAATTCTTACATCACGTCTCTCCGGTTTGAAATATCTTCATGATGTTTGATTGATATTGGGAATACTGTTTTGCAGTGGCGGCCGGCCCACAGGGGCGTTAGGGGCGCCCCCCCCCCCTCTTCCCACATGTTTGATTGTCATTAAAAAATAAAATTTAAAATTTAAAATATATTTAAATAATAAAATGTTGTTTAAAATTGTGTTACGATGTCTAAAGTTACTGATAAGTCACATGTTTCCTGCCTGGCCGCATTACCCTCTCTCGTCTGGGCGCTAAGAAAGGAGCCCTCAGCCAGAGCGGCAGCAGCCAACACATTGCTGACTGTTGCTATTGTAAACTATGCCGCCGAAACATAATTTCAGCCAATCAGCGTCGTCAGATCTGATGGTCATAGGGTGCCAATGTCAGCGCCCGATGCAGTCTGAGAGGATAAAATGGTCCAGCTGGATTGTTTAAATGTTGTTGTGTAAGTCTTAAGCATTAATAATAACTTCATGATGTTTGATTGATATTGGGAATACTGTTTTGGCTTTATATTCAAACCACTGGTGTTATCTGCCCAGTGATAATGTAGCTGTTAGCATTGCTATGTGCCCTGCTGCTCTTCCAGTTAGCATGTTGCTATCAAGTCTAGTTGGTTTCATTATGAATTAAGTATTAAAATAAGCTCCACATGTAATACTCCTTTCCGTCACAAGAGGGGGCACAGTGCAAGGGGAAATGCCACGGGGTGAGATTCAAGGTTCAAGGCTTCTATTGTCATTTGAACATAGCTAGAGTGTAGATATATCAATGAGAATCTGAGGTCTCAGGTATGGAGTCAGATTTGGGTCAATATTCTAGCGCGTAAAACAAGCTACTCACGAGCGGAAAATGTGCTTTTACACGCGCATAAAATGACTCTGCGCTCGCTCGCGAGAGAGACAGCCCTCTTGCTCGCTCGCGGGAGTATCAGCCTCGCGGAGTCTGTCTACGCGCGCGTGAAAAGTTTCTGGCACTTTGGGGCGGAGCCACTGGACTTTGATTGACAGCTGCCAGGAAACCCGGAGTTGCCAGGTTTGATAAATGCCTGAAGTACCAAGAGCCGAGGAGTGACGGCAGCAAAATCAGTTGGACGAGATTGAATGGTAAAGTTGTCCATAAAAAACTATTATATTCGTACAGTGTACAGCTAATATATATAAATTAATTTTATATAAAACAATATATTTTTGAGTGGGCTGTATCTGTCGAAAATTGCATATATATATATATATAAATATAATTGGTTGTAAAAATTGTTTTTTTATACAAAAGGACATTCTTTATAACCAATTGTTTATTATCACGCATTTGTAATATTTGTATGCTAGAACTGTTGTATTCTTTTTGAAAAATGAAAAATAAATAGCTCACTTGTCATTCATTTTTATCCTTAATTATCCATCCAACACTGAAAAGGTGGTCCTTGTGAAGAATCTCATCACTATATTCCCTCAGCTGAAAGTCATTTACAACAATAGTTTGCTGAAGATTAAGTTTGTTTTAACCAAGGACATAAGGTTTTTTTAGGTGTGATTTTATGAATGATCTATTCTGTCAACATTTGATGAATTAGAAAAATATTAATATTTTTAAATGTTAACAATTATTTTCTTT